AGAGGATCGCAAGACTGCAAAGCGATGGCAAAGCGAAGGCATATATGAGTCGGAAGTTTATTTGCAAAAATGATTTCATATCAGAGACAAGTGATGGTCACATCCAATACATAGTGTCGAGTCTTTGCTGGAACTCTAAGGCATCAGTTCTAGCGGTGACTCTTAAAGCGAGTCAACACAACGACTGGTGCACTCATGAGTCATATTTATTGCTCTGGAGTTTGTATAAGACGTCCAAAAGTGATGAGCCATCGATCATCGTTGAAACAGATAGTTGTGGATCTGTTATCTCCAGTCATCCGACACAACCTTCCATCTACTGTTTGGGTGCACTCAACGGAAAGATATCACTTTTGGACACAAGAAATACAGAGAATGAGATGATTTTTGCATCAGTGATGGCTCATCAAAGCCGTGTCTCTCATATTGATTGGTTTGAAGCAAATAAAAGATCAGATTTGGGACAACTAGTGAGCAGTGGTTTAGACGGAAAGGTATTTATTTGGAGAATACACGACAAGTCTATAAGTTTGGAAAATGCATTCGTCATATTGGCTCAAGACATGCCACGAACTATTCCTATAAAAGGGGACAAGAATGAAGTGGAAGTCGGAATAGTATCCATGTCCTTTAATTGTGAAGACCCCAACATATTCATCATCGGAACCATTGGTGGCGCTATATTCCAGTGCTCTTTACTGAGCGCTAAACGAGTGCTAAATAAATCCAATCCAACGATTGTTACCAAACAAAAGAGCGTTGAATATAAGAACCCAATAGCGATGTCTTACGCGAGTCATCGCTCCCATATAAATGTGGTTCAGTTCTCTCCCGTCTCACGGAATATATTCTTTTCGTGCGGTTCTGACAGTGAACTCAGAATCTATAATATTCTTCAGACGGTTCCACTTGTGGTCATTCATACGGATGTGCCGCTAGTAAGTGGTCAGTGGTCTCCTCTGTCACCAAATATCGCGACAGTTGGTGCCGACGGAAAGGTTTATGTGTTTACTATAAATGATACAAATGTTTCAAACGCTTCGTTCAGCTTTTCGATGGCAGAGAATATTTCGGCCAAATCTTTGGTTTATGACACCTTTGAGAGTAACGAACGAATAGCTGTCATCACATCTAATAATGAAATACAGTTTTGGGATTTGTCTCTCACTTCCCAGAAGAACGACAGGAAACACATTAACGACATTCTCAGGGGAATGACATCCGACGAGTCAGAGAACCCATAGTCAAAACTTTTACATCAAATTCTTACTTTTTGTTATATAATCAATAAATTGTTAATTTTCCATTTAATCAATTTATAATCGTTGCTTTAATTAGAGAACAGTAAATTAGTAAAATGAAAATTCAAAAGTTGTTAAGCTTAGTATTTATTGTGTATTTATGTGCTTATTCTTCAGTTAAAGTAAGAATTTT